CCCAGGTCCCCGCCGTGCCCCCCTGTCCTCACCACCTCCCCCCGTTCTCACGAGCTCCTCTCCCCACAGTGCTCTGCTTCACCCTCACCCGCTCGCTGCTGCTGACGCTCCTGGTGCCGGCCGGGCTGCTGGGTTTGCGCTATTACTACAGCCGGAAGGTGATCCTCGCCTACCTGGACTGCGCCCTGCACACGGACATGGCTGACATCGAGCAGTACTACATGAAGCCCCCGGGTGAGTCTAGGGCCCCCAGGCTCCCCCTCCAGCAGAGCCGCCCTCATCTCAGCAGCCTCAGGCCGGCCCAGGCCAGGGTGGGCCCCATGACTAGACTTCTGGGCAGCTGAGGGCTCTGGCCAGGAGTTGGGGTGCAGTGGGCTGGTGGAGGCTGGGGGACAGAACTAGGTCCTTGGTGCTGACCCAGGGTCCCTGAGTGTCCACATGGGCCCGCCTGGCCCTGGGCCTGTCTTTCATCCTCTGAGGGCAGGGCGCTGAGTGGCCTGAGCTGGCCTCCGGCCGTGGTGCCTGGACTTGCTCTTCACGCCACCGGGTGCCCTGTCCCTGGCTCCTGCTGAGGGTGGGGTCTCTCACCTCTTATAGGTCCTTTCTGGTCCAGGGTCTTAAGTTTTCATCTCTACTTCTGGTCTCTGGGCCACTTCATGAGCCAGCTGGTCTTGCCCCAACCCCTGGCAAGGCCTCCTTAGAGGGAGGGGTCTGGACCTGCAGCCCCTGGGTGTCATTCTCTGTCTTCCAGGCTGGCCCCGGGGCAGGCCGGGTCCTGGGAGGCAGGGCCCTGCTCTTCTCCACGCCCAGAGCCGAGGACTGCTCCTTCATCTCTGCCCTCTGGGGTGTGCTAGAGGGTCCCCGGGCTGAGGAAAGGGGGCAGGATGGGCCCAAAGAGTTGTTTGGGGACTAGTAAGAGACTGGTGTCAGGGCAGGACAGGGGGGGGACAAGAGAGGCAAGGTGTCCCAGAGCAAGGGTGACCTTCCCTGGCCCTGCCAGCGCCTGTGCCCACCTGCTCCTCCTGTAGTGGCTGGCCCCACCCCCACCCCTGCAGCTGTGCAGCCGGCCTTGGGCACCTTTGGTTTTCCTTGACCCTTTCCCAGGCCCAGACAAAACATCTTAGCCTGGAGGAGCCCTAGCTTCTGCCTGGCTCTGCCTGTGATGGGACGGGCCAGAGGGCAAGAACCACCTGACTGGTGGCAGGGCCCAGGCCACAGGAGCTGAGGGGGCCTTCGCTCGGGGCCAGCTGTGCCACGCGGACCCCGCTCTCAGGCCTGTGCTTGCTGGGCTGCAGCCTCTCCGAGTGTGACATGGGGAGTGGGGCCCTGCTTGGCCCTCCTGAGACATCGGTGGGTCTGCAGCAAGACCATCGGGGGAGAGGATGTGCTGGATTCATGGAACTGCTTGTGCGGTCGGGAAACTGAGGCCTGGGGAGGGGCGAGTCTCCCAGGACTGTCCTGACCTTTGGGTGGGTGGGCAGGCCAGCCGGTGGGCAGTCAGGGGCAGCGTGCCCTCAGCTGAGCTCGGCTGCGTGTCAGGTCTCAGTGTGGCACTGGGCACTGCGGGCCCACAAGACAGCAGGGGACCCCCCGGGGCGGTGGAGGAGTGATGAGACTTCTGGGCAGGGCTCGGGCGCAGAACTTTCAGCGGGGAGAGTTTGGCCCCTCGAGGGAGCGTGAGGTGGGAAGACTCGGTGAGGGAGGCTGGAGCGGCCATAGCAAGGCCTGGCAGGCAGATTTCCTCGGAGTGGGCACCCCCACCCCCAGCCGGCTCTCACTGTGTGTAGCCCCTGGGCCTTTGGTCGCCAGAGGCGACAGGCTCTCCCAGTGGCCTGTGCCCTGCAGTCCTCTGTCCTCTAGTCTTCATTCCCTCTCCCCTCCTTGCTGAGGCCTCACCCAGCCTTCCTGCCCTGCGTAGGCCATGGGCAGGGACAGCTGGCCTGGTCACCGGGCTGGCTGCCCAGGAGAGGCCAGGGTCAGTGGGGGGTGGTGCCCATGGCCATCCTGGCTCCCCACTTGGATTTCTCAAGTGTCCACAGACCTTGTCCTGAGCCTCCCCGAGGTCATGGGGCTCCCAAGCCCAGCAGCCTCAACCCAGGAGAGTGGAGGCTGCAGGGTTGGCACACCCACAGCCCCCAAGGTCCCCTGTGGCCCTCAGGGTTGTGGCATCCACGGCCCCTCTGTGGCCATCCGTGGCTGTCCAGGCGTTTGGTTAGGGTTGCTGGGCGGGGGGGGGGCCCTATAGGCTGAGGGCTCCCAGGGCTCAGGGGCAGCTGTGCCACCCAGCAGAGCCAGCAGCCCTGACTGCCCTATCCCTTGCAGGCTCCTGCTTCTGGGTGGCCGTGCTGGACGGCAACGTGGTGGGCATCGTGGCAGCGCGTGCCCATGAGGCGGACAACGCCCTGGAGCTGCTGCGCATGTCCGTGGACTCCCGCTTCCGCGGCAAGGGCATTGCCAAGGCGCTGGGCCGCAAGGTGCTGGAGTTCGCGCTGGTGCACAACTACTCTGCGGTGGTGCTGGGCACGACGGCCGTCAAGGTGGCTGCCCACAAGCTCTACGAGTCCCTGGGCTTCAGACACATGGGCTCCAGTGACCACTACGTGCTGCCTGGCATGACCCTCTCGCTGGCCGAGCGCCTCTTCTTCCAGGTCCGCTACCACCGTTACCGCCTGCAGCTGCGTGAGGAGTGACCGCCGCCCGCCCGCCGCCTGGCCGCCCCATCCGCCTGTGCCCACCTGCCCGCCGCCCGGGCCTGCTTTCAGACGCTCACCTTGGCGTTTCTGTTGGGTTTTTCCTTTTTCGACATCACGTGGTTCTCTGGCTGGTTCTGGGAGGGACGGGGCTACCGCTCATCCATGACACTTCAGGGGTGGGTCATTTGCAGCCATGACCCCCTGCCCTCCTCAGCCTGCTGGGACCACGCCCCGAAGAGTGACAGCATGGACCACCACATGCCCATACAGCTGCCCGGCCTTGGCTTGCAGGGCTCCTGGCCCACGACCACTGGGGCAGGCCTGGCCTTGCCCACCGAGCACAGACCCTCTGCAGCGAGGCCCCTGCACAGCAGGTCCCTGGCCACCAGCCAGGCTCCGGCTCAGCCATCAGTCCCCAGGAGGTGTGGCCTGCTGGGCCAGCCAGCCACTGCCCCGCGGGCCTCTTTGCTCTGCATGCTGAGCACAAGGCCCGGCTGCAGCATGCTGCATGCCCACAGCTCCCGCCCTGCTGCCCCACCCACTGGGCCCAGACTCGGGGTGCCCTGCCCAGCCCCGAGCCAGCCCCGGCAGCCACCCGCTTTTGGGAGGGCCAGTCTCACAAGCCCCTTGCTTCACCCAGGTCAGCTTTGCTTTGATACTCAATCACCTTCTTTCCTTTTGGTCCCCACCCCTCCCCTGCCAGGGCTTTGTTTATTGGCATCATCACCCAGGTGTGGTTCCCATAGCAACCTGCTGCACAGCCATGGTCAGGGCCCTTCGAGAGAGCAGGGTGGGAGGCCTCTCCCCCAGCGCCAGCTACATCACGGGGGCCTCTCCCAGCCCTCCCAGGATGGCCCAGCCTCACAGCCCGTGAATCTGACTAACCCAGGCCGCCGCCACCACCATGAGCCCACAGCTTCTCCCAGCCTGAAGCAGACCTATTTTTTTAATAAGTTACTTAGACAGAATAGCACTCTGCATGTCTTTAATTCTTGGGACAAAACGGTAGTCGATACCTTCACACACACACACACCCGTGTGGTCTAGAGTATGCACTATTTCTGGCCCAGTTTGGTCGGGGTGGGTGGCCGGGTGGGCGGAGGATTTCAAGATTTGGAATCTGCAGGGAGACCCTGACTCAGCATTTCCCCCAAAGAGCATCCCTGGTTTCTGAGGAGGCTGTGGGCCGCCCCGTCCAGCCCGATGTGCCGCTGCCTTGGGGAGGGACCAGTGGACCTCACCGTCCATGTGGCTTGGGGCTGGCTGTGCTCTCAGCCTCCTGAGGTTGGAGGCTGGGGACGGGCAGGTGGTGGTTGGCAGTAGCTGCACGTCTGGCTGTGAGCCTGGACCTGGCCCCTGAGACCCCTACGCTCGGGGGTTTGGAGGAGGGGGGAGTGGCAGGTGCAGTGGGTCACTGAACCGGGACCCACGTGCGGGACCACAGAGGAGATGTTCTTAAAAGGCGCTTTGGAAGTTAGCAAGTAAACGAAATGCCCAGTTTCCCAGGAGCCCTCTGTGCTGCCGGCAGTGAGGTACTTGCAGAACCTGTACAGACCCCGCTCCCCTGTACATACCCCTGGAGGCGCCCGGGCCCCGCCCGGGGTGGGAGTTTTGTAGACTGTACAGAAATCGGCACCCTATTTTCTTGCAGCTCTCAGATTTTGTTAACCTGGATTATACAGACAGACGTAAAGTGTTTTAGCAAAATGGAAACAAACAGCTGTGCCTTTCTCTCTTTCCGTTTGGTTTCGGCTCGGGGCAGCCTTAGGTGCCGTGGGGCCTGGTGGGGTGGGAAGGGCAGGTGGTGGCCTCGAGGGGTCTGCATGGTGGGCCGTGTCGGGGTAGGTTGGGGATGCCACTAGCTGTCTCCGATCCTGTGCCTTTGGAGCCTCTGGTCCCTGGGGTGGGGGC